GCTGTTTGCAAAGCGACAATATACTTTTTATACAATCATGTAAACTGGATATTTTTGTGTACAAGACGTCACTGACAAAGGCGCTTCTATTAATTTTCTGCAAAAATGCATCCTAATGTTATAAGATTTAATATTCAGAGAAAAAGATCATCTTTATATTTTAAAAAAAAATTCAACAAAGTATGTATAACACAAATTAATGAAATTAAATTTTTAGGCTATTGTAATAAGAAAGATATCATCAAGATCAAAAACAATGTTGAAGAAGCTAGTTGGGATTATGAATAAAGCTAGCTCTCTTCAATGTTATAGATCAAGGTTTATATAACCAAGATACATATCTGAGTGTACTGAAAATAATCCTATGGAGCAAAGTAAAGGTGATCAAGTTAGATTGATACATAGATTCAATGAAAACATGGTGAACAATAACCAAGAATTACTGAATAAGAACAAGAGGAGATATCCCTAGATATAAATAGCAAACCAAGAATCTACAATTTCAGATTAAATAAAGAGTTCAGTTCAAAATTTCCTGAATGTAGTTTGGAAAGCATCCAGAGGATCCAACAGCTAAAATGTGATAATGATAACAAAAATGAGGGCAATAGGTTACATGTAAATAATGTAAATAACATTTTTTGATTTGTTCAATTACACAATTAGGCATTGTGGTAATCAAGAGGCTCTTATTGTTGGAAAATATCTTATGCAACATAAGAAATTAAAACATTATTTAGAACAAGAAATAAACATATGCATAAATAATTTGAATCAATTTTTGTTGTTCAAATATTTATATTTACTTAACACAATTTATCTATATGTTATAGTAGCAAGGAATTCAGATAGGAGAATTTGCTCTTGATATAAATACTATTTTGTTATTTCTCAAATTATCATCATTATTATATTTTTAAAATAGTGGCTTTTTTCTTTGATAGATTCTTGCTAAGTTGCAAATAATCTAATACTACAAAAATAATGTCTGGACTTTCATGATGAAGTGAATTTTAGCTAAAGAACTGCAAACAGTGACTTTAATTTTTGAAGAAATACAAAATGTGCCACTGTTTGCAGTTCCTTAGCTAAAATACACTTCATCATGAAAGTCCAGATATTCACTACATACAAAAACTGAACAATAGAATTTTGGAATAAGAAAATAAAAAAAATAGTTTCACATTTTGATAGATTAAAATTTAAGATTTATAAACATACAACAAGTTCTTCTTTCAGCTGTTGACCAACCAGAGAAATGACACCATATTGTGTGCCTATTTTCATTTGTGTTGGTGTGCACAAAAACTGGAAAAAATCTCAGTGTATTTTCACAAGGAAGATAAAGGTGAAAACATCGCTACAATGAAAAATGAAAAGGCAAATCCGGTTTCCAATATATTTTGTTATTTATTAAACCATCAACTTTGCACAGTCTGAAGGGTAGGTAGATGATACTCGGTACAACTTCTGCTACTTATGACATGACAGACTAACAGATCTGCTCTTCTCTTCAGCCAACTTCTTCCATTCCTCAGCCTATCTCTACATAATGGCCCACAGGTGACTTGAAACTATTCTCTAATAGTTGGCCCATAAAATGCTCAACAAACATGCATGCATCAAAACTACTTATAATTGTAAGTGTGACTGTTTATATAAGCCTGGAAGTAGAGCTTTCTAACTTCCAAACAAGTGGCACTTGTTCCCAAAAGCGTTCACCTGTGGTCAGTGAGTGGTCACTTTGAATAACTTACTTTATAGATTATATTGTCTATGTAATCATAAAAAACACAAGATACTTCTGACTCGGATAAAATCATTTACTGTCCACATCTATGCGAATGTCTTGATAACAGCCAGCTTCCATTGTGTCACATTTACACTTACTCATTTCACTTTTGGATAATATCAATTTTGATAAATTATCAAAAAGGCAAATGTATATAAAGAAAAATAGCTGGCATTTGTTTAAATTAAAAATTGGTTAAAAATTGGATAGTGCTTCTAGTGGTATGAAATTTATTGAAAGCAATAGATCATTACATGGCACAAAAATGTATCTTGAACAAACTATTGTCCAGGTTATTAAATAGTTGAAAATTTTATTTTCAAGCATTTAAGTAAGTTTCATTCAGACAATAACTTATAACGAAATTACTGAAAAACAAGATTTTGAATCAAATCCTCATTTCAACTAAAACTAATTAAGACCATTGGTCAGAATTTGGCCTCTTAATAGTTTTAGTGTTCTTTTTTTCTTATAATATTCCTGAAGTTTAGTTATTCTTAGAAACATGCTGACTACACTAAATTTAATAAATATATATTATTTACTGCAAGTGTTAAATATTGACAATGATCAGTGTAAGTGTGATCAATATAATCATTTCATAACTGGTCTTTTATTTGAAAAGCTTAAGAGTATTCTTAGAAAAATATTTTCAAGTTTTATATAGAAACAAATGCAAATAAAAAGATCAACTGTTTGAACAGTAACTGTATAAAATAATTCATGTAAACTGAAATAAAAAGCATCATTACAAAACAATTTATAAATAAAAATAGCACATTTGTTAAAAGTCAAATGAAAAATTTACAAAAATATTTGTAAAACTGTAATAACTGACACAAAATCTCAAACATTAGAATGAAAAAAAAAAAATGGTTCAAAGTAAAATCATTATCGTAAATCAATTACAATCAACAGTAATTATCTATTTTACTCACTCAAGTGAGATAACCAGTAAAAGCTTAAGTGTTTCTCATGTATAGCATATAATTGTGAAGAAAATTCAATTAATTCCAGTCAAAAATGTTGATCTGAATGAAAATTAAGGTAATTTTGCAAATTCAATACAGTATACTGAACAAAGAACCTTTATCAATAAAATCAACAGAGTCTGTCTATATTTCTGAGATGAGGTATTATGTACATTATTTACATTATTCGAACTATTGCCCTCATCTTTGTTGCCATATTTATCACAACGTTTCGCCCCATTGTACGCTCCGGCCTTCTTCAGGTAGTTGGAAGGGTTAGGGTTAGGGTGGATTAGGGTATCTAACCAACGCCTTTATCCACTGTGTCATGTGTCAAGGACACATGGCTCAGTGGATAAAGGCGTTGGTTAGATCCAGTGACAGGACCCAAGGAGTGTGAGTTCAATACCTGGTTAAGGCAGTGGAGAACTTTCAGAGGAAAATTAACAGAAAATAACTGATAACTGACATCCACCAAACATGGAACTAGAACAGTCTACCCCAGCGAGTGAAATAAAGGGTTCAGTTCGACATTCCCACTGAAGAAGGCTGGAGCGTACAACGGCCGAAATGTTGTGATAAATATGGCGACAAAAATGAGGACAATAGTCCGAATAATGTAAATAAAATCAACAGATATTCTAAAATATTTAAAGGTTCAATATTAAGGAAAAATCTAAAGCAATGAAAATGAGTTTACAGAGAGAAAAATAGCTAACAGCTATAAAACAATACAGGCTGCTCATGAACTGTATATACTAATTAAATTACAAATGAGAAATATCAATACAAAAATAACTGAAAAGACAAAGTAATCTTTTTACTAAACAAGAAAAAATGTGCATAAGTGCATCTTAATTTTGTATTAGATGTAGAAGTATGAACCATTATTAATTTTTGATTAATAGTTCTTTCATATTAATTTTAGGTACTTATCACATCTACTCAGACTTATTTTATAGCCACGAGTAAACAGCACAGATAATAAATAATAATAATAATTGAGATTACTTCATCTAAGAAAAGTTGGTGCCACTAAGCAATGAAAGAAAAATAAGTTTATATGATTAAATTTGGTCTCCTACAACTATGGTCTTTAGTTGCAATAACTTTTCAATAGCCTGATTATTGTGGTAGAATAGCAATGGAGTGGAGGTTGGGGTTCAGATCAAAAATAAAAAAATTGGGGTTGTAATTTCAAAGGTCATAAATCAGTCCCATACGTCCCAAGTCAAAACTATTGGGGGTGTAAATCAAAGCGTTAAAAAAATCTGTATCCACAACACAAAATACAATTACCTTCATCATCCATAAAGAACAGAAAATTCCCCACAAAGTAGCATTCTTTTATTGGGATGAGAAAAGCTGTAATTGGTTGTGATTGTTAGGTAAGTTTAGAATTTACCATATTTCAAGGCCTAGTAAGTAGACTTGATTTTGATTTTCTTTTTTGACAAACAGCACAAATTATTTTTGAGGTAAGACAGTTTTCTCTTTCATTACCACATTCCTCCCTTGATCACATAAGTAACAACCTTGACTAGGCCTCTATTGTCTTGTGATTCTTTTGAAGTGTAAGCGTTCTCAAAGCAAATTTGTGGCTTTCACAAGACAACGAAAGAAAATCACTTGTAACACGTCAGGAAAATAACTCACGAACGCCGTATGACTTGGGCGATCACGTGTGGGTGAAATCTCCACATAGCCGGTGTACAACCCGGTACCGGGTGGGGCATGTCACTGGACTAAGTAACTCGCGTTCTGTGCTGATTGATGGCATACCAAGACACATAAAGGACTTGCGTCACTATGTAGGTACAGATACGTCAACAAGTGACACTAGCAGTGAGTGCTCAGAAAGTGAACAAATAATTACCATTGGAGGTAGGGCTAGCACCCCTTCAGATGGTGAAGACTCTGTGCGTGAGAGGTTGTCAGACCAGAGGAATCCTCAGAAGAAGAATCTTCAGAACATTCTTCAGATGATGAAGACTCTCATGCATGAGGTTGTCAGATCAGAAGAAACCTCAGAATATAACACACAATCTCCTCCAACAGTCGCCCGCTCCGGAGAAGCTTAAGAATAAAGAGCCCGCCCATGAGTGTCACTTATGTGACAGGGGGGAGTGTAGTGAACGAGATAATCAAGTACCCCGGAAAAAAGTTTGTGTTTTGTGTGCGATCTGCCGGGGAGGGATTGCTAAAAAGTAGTCAGCAAAACTCTTATAGCGACTTACCTCGTTCACTACATCGTTTTAGTGGGACAATCACTGTCTTTTCTCCAGTCCTTTCCCAAAGAGTCATCACACTATGTTGTCTGTTTCTGATTACAAACCATGTTTTCTCCTCTGTTACAAAAATTATATCACATTTATTTTTGATTCTACAACTGCTTAGTTTAAATATCCTTGATTAGTCTTGTTAGCTTTAATCAATATTTTAAATGGATTGATTTTTGCAAAAAGAGTGGTGAAAACAATTTTAAATTTATATAAAACAATTGCACATTTTAAAGTAGATTAAAAAATTGCAGAATTCTTTATAACAGTCAAAAAGCTGGTGAATATATTTAGTTTTATATGGTATTCTTTATAATTTACACAAGAAAAAAGAAAAGCTAACATGATTTAAAGTTTAACTTTTTCTTTTTAGGAATAACAAAAAAAATAATACTGATGTTTGCATTTGGTCAGGAATTGAGTAAAAATACAGGTTTACTTGTATTAATACAAACTGGTATATCAGGTAAATTATAAGAAAGGCTTTTTCTTTTGGTCAAAAACTGCATCAAGAACCATAACAATTCCTTAAAAAAATCCTAGTATATATTTAATAAGGCTGAAGGCTATGAAGGTAAACAGATAATAAACACTGCGATACTGAAGTGCGAGACAAGTTTTTTTTCTGACTACTCATGCAGGTGTTTACAGTCACAAGAGGCAAAATATAGATTGGTGAGGAAAGTGATAGCAACCAATACACCAAAGCTATCAAAAGAACAACAGTAATCAACTCGAATATACCATCATCTTTTAAGTTGTTTCCCCAGGAATTAATGCGGTCACGAACCAGAGATCGGACAGTTTCTTGTCTGATTTCTGCAACTTTGCCAGTGTTACTAGGAGACCCCTCCACTGAAAGTGGGAAAATAATGTCATGTAAACATTTAAACAAATCAGAAGTCTGTGTACATGAGAACAAGCCAATAAATTGATACAGAATGGAAAGAATTAAAAATAGAAGTTAAAAAAATGAAAGAGTGATTTTAAATTGGAAAAGTAAATTTATAAAAATTAATAAATGGAGACAGAGATTATATCAGATTTAAAAACATTTCAGTATAGATAAACAATCTAAAATGTTGAGAAAAAAAATCAGAAAAATAAAGGAACTTGAAAATTTATTACATTTAAAAATGAAACAATTTTCAAAATATTACAAGACTATCAAAAAAGAGAATTAAATTTTCAATTAAGATAAATTTCAAGTTAATAATAATATAGGCAAATTTTTATAAGTTCTAAAATAATAGCAATCACACTCAAATTTCTCAAATATGTAACATTAAAATAACAGATGTAAAATATTATTTCCATTTGCTGTTTGTAGCATTTTCCAAACTAAGAATGTAATTCATGAATAATGTTTATAAATATTTCTACTCTTAATTTTTTCCTTCAGCAAGAAACATTATGGCATAAAATGACTGATATTGTT